TATATATATATATATATATATATATATATATATATATATATATTTTAACTATGGGAGTATGTATGTTGAACTCTTGACACTAATAACAAAAACTCCAATCCAACTGCTAGGAAGGAACAATGGTAATGTAGAAGTAAATCCTTTCAACAACGCACTGTATATTAATACTGCATAATGCATATATATACTAGCAAGTATAAGTCTACAACATAAAATTGAAGAATGGTAGAGATGGTGCCAGCAAGAAACAAGAAGCAAAGTCCAAGGAGGGAAATAATTGCAGGCAATACCAGGTAGCAGCACCACGTTCTACAGTGCATAGTTAGCCACTCCTAGATATAAATTGTAGGCAGTGCCAAAAGCTCTTTTCAAACCACCAAGGATCAAAGCTCTCTTTTTTTTATTTTTATTTTTATTTATTTATAATATTTCGACTTTGATTTAAGAATGTATTTCCTAAAATATGTAAGTTAACATTTAATTTATTTAATTAAAATAGAGTTATTTAATAAAGAGGAAATATTTTACTAGTTAGTAATTGTACATGTAACAGTACATAAAATCGATAAGAGTGGCCGAGCGATGTGACAGAAAGAATGACTCTCAATAATTGATCGCACCAGGTAACCGACACCTGATAGGCCAAACCGAAACCTCAGAGAAATACGTCATTACGTCAGCAATTATCTCTAATTAAATATTAAAGAGTAATCACTCGGATAAAGTTAATTTGAAACGTATTACCTAATCTGGTAATCCTAGTACGGGACCCATGGAAGACAGGGTCCATCAATGTCACTATAAATAGCTCAGGTCTCGAGGTAATGTTACTGTTCATTAATTATAGTTCTTATTATTATTGTTATGTTAAAAAAGCCTTGACACCTTCTCTTTCTCTTATAAAATGTTATTTATTTATAATATAATGATCGAAATTATAATATATATCTATTTATGTTATTTTATTTCATTTAATAATAATATTTAAAAATGTTAATAAAATAAATAAATAAAACCATTCTTTAATTTTTAAGATTATAAATCATTTTGAATAAGTTAAAATATAAAAAATAATTATTTGAAAATTAAATATAATTACCAAGTTTTAGGTTATAATTATGTGATTAAATATGTTATTTTATGTTTTTTAACTATATTTTTTTAGTGTTGTCCAAAAAAGACTATTTTTTATTGGATTTTTAAAACTATATTATAAGCTAAATTTAATAAATAATTTTAATTCAATAATTAGTTTTTGCATTTTAAATTTCCAATATTTAACAAGTAGCTGATTATTAATATTGTCATAATCGTCCGAAAGCCGGTGAAAATACACCAAAGTCTTACAAAAAAAAATAATAAAGACCTTAATTACGGTCATTAAAAAGATTAGAATCAGACCTAAAAAAAATTAGAATTACTCTGCCTATTTATTTATTTAATTATTATCGAATATATCTAGCTTAGTTGAAGGTTAATTTTATTTTTTGACAAAAATAATTAAAGTTGATTTTATTTCTCTCGATAAAACTTTATATATATGTGTATGTGTAATTTTCTTTTAATTTTACATTGTCTCATATCATGAATCGTTTTTGTGACAATGACCATGAAATATATTCCTTCTTAAAATTATTTTATTTCTTTTGCGCACGACGACTATATTTTGGCAGAATTTGGTACAGGAACCATGTTAGGATATCAATATAGCAGAGTCTGCTAAACTTCAATCTAGTAATACAAGGTGAATTGGGGAAAAAAATCAATTGACTCACTGCAACAGTGTTAACACTATCCACTTCTACATTTTTGTCCGTTCTATATGCGGTGCAACTTCTTTCAATGCCTGAAAGAGAAAAAGAAAGGTATAAAACACAGGTTCATTTCACACTGCCTGAGAAAACATTCATCAATGTTTTTCAACTCACTATCTTGGTGTCCTGTAGTGCATCTTCCAGCGTCTTGATTTTCTGCTACATTTGTAAGTTTCAGCAAAAATCTCTAGGCATTTTGGATTGCCTTGGTTTAATTAACTTATACATTAAATTAATCATTATATGAAAACTCACATTCTTTATGTCTCCAATAACAGCTTCAAGCCAATCAATTTTTTGCAATGCTAACCCACATGGCGAGTCTGATCCCACACATGCTGCCTCCTCAGGTAGACTCATAGTGTTGTTGTCATTTTTGCTTTGCATGTCAACCTGCATTTCATTATCTTAAGCAACACATATCATTGGTAGAACAAAGGTGAATAGCTCATTAATTCCTCACATTTTTTGTCATGGAGGAATCTTCTGAAGCCACATCACGATCTTCGCATTTACCATCGATCTCTTCTTTCAAGTTAATAACCTGCATCATTAATAAGACGTGCCCCTCTCACCTACTTCTAGATGAACAAATTGACAACTAAATGTACAGAGCGTTGAAAAACATATAGAAATGTCATTCACAGTATATTGTCAAACCTGAATCATTTCTAACACTTCTGGATTTTTCCAGGGCCCTCGATCACTCATCAGACAACCTCCATAATCGGAACATTTGCAATTACCACCCATAAAAGTTGGCAAATTACTGTAAAATCAGACAATTAATCTAGGAGCTTCATTAAACGCAGAATCTCACAAACACATGTACTTGTTAGTGGCTAGTATGTAAATTCATCGGCAAGGTATCATCAAGTTTTCAGGTACATAAAAATATTTTTTCATCAGCCTTTTAAATTTTCCTAGTTTGTTTCTCTATTAAATCAAAGCTTATTCGTCCTTTTCTGTGAGAAGCAAATTTGAAATTTTATTATCATAGTTATTTTCATGATAATCTATAAATATTTTAACTCTTCCTTTATATTATTTTAAATATTTAAATATAAATATATATTAGCATACCTGTACTTTGATTTTTAAAATTTACCATATTTTGTGTTGTACTTTTATTCGTGCTACATAGGTTGCTACTATAAAAGAAAATTCATGGCCAAACTATACAGAAGGCATGTTATGTTACCTTGGATCAACAGCCTCAAGCAGCACGCTGAGATAATTAGAACCCAACACCTGAAACAACAATCTTGCTGGTTCAACATGGATACGACCCCGGGAGTTATACAACCCGAATATAGTATGTGCAGCTTCATGGTATCTGATATAGTGATAATGAAATAATATGTAGTTTCAAATTTGAGTTATTCATACTTGAATCTTTGATACTGTGCGTGCATCTAGGAATGCTTTTATTGCTTTCCACAGCATCCTAAACCCAGATCCGGCATTAATAATAAAGAGCTGATTTAGAGTCTGCAAGAACAAAGAATGAATACCATAGTTAACTGCGCACTGATCTCATAAACCCAACTTTTAGTTAAGCATCTCCTCTCAATCTTGCACGATTAAAAAAATCTTAGCAAACTGTTTTGAGTACAAATTCTGGCATGCCTTCATGCGAAGTATAATAATAAATTCAAGTGTTCAACCTTGCATCCAAAGAGAATATCAATATCTCAAGGTGAGAGATCAAAAACACGAAGGCAAACTATATTTAGCGATAGAAATACAAATAGCTGAGGTTTGCAACTCTTTTGATTCTTCTTTTTTTTTTTTTTTTCCTCTTCCGTTCCCCAACTTAATATAAAATTATAAATGACAATTACACCCTGAATGTAGCCGAAATTTTGATTGCAAACTTGAGACTACATTTTATAGATTATATTTTTTTTGTTATAATGAATCAGTGCTAAGTGCTAACTTGAAAACTTGTCTTATCCTCAGATAAATTGACCTCCAATTTCACACATTTATCCCAAGCATATCAATCATCTGGCATATGAGCAACTATCTGGAAAAAAAATAAAATACCTCAGGATAGTAACAGCTATCGATTTTCTGAATTTCCGTAAAGAGGTATCTTGCGGGCTTTGAGAAATTAGACATCCCCTGTAAGAACCAAATAATTGTATCAGTATTTAGATACCTTATTATACAGACATGGAAGTGAAATGAACCTAGATAGAGCATAACAATATAGTACTCCATTGACAGCAAAATTGCAAGCTAGTTCTACTAAAAGGGCAAAATATATATATAAAAAAAAATGTGCTTACTACTCCATTGACATCCAAGATACTTGTAGTGGATGCTATGTGCTTTTTAGCAGCTAGTGAACATGCAGGGTATCTTACTTTCAGAGTTTTCTCTTGCTCTGACACATGATATTTGATAAACCTTTCAAATGTGGTTACTTCTCCCAGTTTGTTAAGGTCTACCATCCCAGTTCTCTCAATATACACGGGTCTACCGTATCTATCAACTCCGTGATATCCATGAGGATAGCATTTCTTCACTTCATTGTACTCCGTGAAATTGAATTCCTGATTATGTTCCAAAATGTGAAGACCATGCATAAATCAAATTCAAGTGAGTTATCGAGAACTGAATGGTAGCGTGAATGCACAAAGTTAAATAACTTAATGATTTTAAACAAAATTACATTAATATGAAGAGGTGAAATTCTAAGTTCATTCTTGAGAAGTTTCAGTTTTGGATAAACTTTTCAATAACTTCCATAACAGACATCACAGATAGAATGATTAAAACCATAACCACAAAGCGGCATGTATCGATCAAACAGAAATTTCGTACTAAAAAAGGAATGTGTGCGGAAGTTTAAAGTTGTTAACCTTTGGAAGCACGTCTACTCGAAATTCCTTGCGCCATTTCAGATAATTTTGAAACATCTCTTTGGATTTTGACACGTCGAAATCCCTCATGCGCAGAAACCTTACATGAAAGGCAATCAATGTGGTTAGAAAACCAATTCCGCAATAAAACCTGTGATAGAATAACAACAATTAAGAGACACAGATACCTTAGAAGAGTATGATAATCATCGTGCTTTGGTGGCAAGAGGTCTTCTTGTATCAGCATTTCGCGAAAAGACTCAACAATTTGTTTATCCTTAGGATCACGGGCTCCTTCTAGAATCATTTTAAGACTTTTACTCTTTCTAAATTTCGCGAGTGGGTAAGACAACACTGACTTAATAGAAGACGAAGCCTTTTTTCCTGGTGACGAATTGAGACACCAATGCGTTTCAATTGGAGGATGAAAACTTTTGGTCCTACTCTTGCTACCACTACCAAAATCAAACTTCAATCCCTGAAAACCAGAACATGACTCGTTTTCTCCTTCACCTCTCCCTATAATCACTTCCCTGTCTTCGGACTCCGCCTTCGGACTTGTCATTTGTAAGGACAACGATACTGAAAACGTGCATTTATGCATACATGCAAATCTATTCAGTATAGATACCTTGCCTTGAAAACTGTTGGCAGAAATAAATTTTCACAGTATAAAATTTTTGACAATAAAACCGGAATTAAAGCATCAAAATCGACGATTGAATTGTTACACCTTTCACACTTGAAAATCATGTCATTGTTTTTTAACGGTAGAATTTTCACCACTAAAAGACATTATCAAGTTGGAAATGAGGGCTAAATTTTATACGAAGCGTGTGTCAGGATGCAGGAGCGAAAAAGTGAGTGGAACAGAAATTATATTCGATGTGAAATTTGGAGTCAGATTGAAAATAATGCAAGTGCGGAGTAGGGAGAAGAGAAGGAAGGAATTCTGAAACAGTAGAAATACAATGATGTAATGTAACCAAAACCACTACTTACGAGAAGGAAGTGTCTGGTACGAAGAAGAATGAAAGTAACGATTGTTGTGTTGTGTAATGTGTATGCAGGAAACATATGTGACACGCCGGGGAAGGATCGAATTGGAATGTGTGTGTTCCAAGAAACCACGAAAACAAACCAACCAAGTTCGGTATCCCATTTTTTTTAATTATACGGGACTACGCCGTAACTTTTTACACACTCTTAGCCATAGTTTTAAAACTCGATTGGTTATCAAATCGGTTAAGGTACTGAGGTCAGTAGGTCAAAGGTTAAACCAGTAGGTCATTAATTGAACCGCATGACTCAATTTTTATTAATTTTTTTAAAAAATATTCATGTTAAATATATTTTATACTTATAAATTTCGATAAATTCATATCCTATTTTAAATTCATATGTATATATATAATATATTTACAATTAATATTACAAAATAATATATGTAATATCTACATAGATATTATATTATTAAATATATAATTTAGAATTGATAATATATTATAAAAGTTATTTAAGTTGCATATATTATAGACAAATATATTAGAATAAGTATTTATTCTTATGCTTAATAAGACTCTTTGTTCTTCCATTAACAAATTCAATTCTCATTGTTATTTTTGTGGTTTGTGGTCCTTTAAAAAAATTTATAAAAAAAATTGTGGTTGAACCGGTTTGACCCACCGATTCACTGGTCGAACCGAAAAATTGACCAGTTCAATCCAGTTTGAAACGGGTCGAAATGCATAACCAATCCAACTTAAGATTCGGACCGGCTGGACCACTGGTTCCCGGTTCAACCGGTTCGACCGGCCGGTCCCATCCGAGTTTTTAAACACTACTCTTAGGACCCAACAAATGAAAAGGAATCCACATTCATTTTATTATTTTATATTATATATTATATTATTCCACTAACTATAATAATAATATTTCACTGATTATCCATATCTATTATAATCTATATCTATACCTATTATAAAGGGAATACATTTTAATAATCACTATTTTGACCTCCACTTTTTAGTAGACTCTTATACGCTTGAATGTAAAATAAATAT